ATAAATAAATAATAAAAGCTTATTAAAAAAACCAAATCACTTTAATGAACACTTAATAAACAATAAATTAAAAAAAAGTAAAACACTGCATCACCATAGCAATTAAGAAGAAATAAAAGCAGAATTAGTACATCTGTTTCAAGCTGGAAAATGACCCTACCAAGGAAGAAGTATTTTTTTTTAAATTCCATTTCAGAACACATTTTCCCCTTTAGTCAGTCTGATTAATTAACACCAAATTTAAATACTCTATTGGGATATCTCCTTGTTGATCTCCCTCACCAGAACCTACACTTCCTTAATAAGCCATTTAACACATTTTCTTGTTGGTTTAACTGTCTTCCTCAACAGCCTGAATGCTCAATGAAGGCAGAGACCGTTTCTAGCTTTTTCTTCAGAGTTCAGCAAGAAAACGGGTTTAGCATAATCCTCTCCCATCTTACTAAAGAGCCTAGAACAAGCCGCTTGTTCCTTGTTTATAAGACTTGGACCTCCTCCGGCTGCTGAAAATAAACACAATCATGCACGTTAATTCTCGAGCATGAGACAGCCTGGTTATGTTGCTCAGTAGTTTCTTCTCCTTCCTTCGGATCAGGTACATTAAAAAAAATAATACACAAATATGATTTCAAGGTGAAACAGAAAACCAAGGTCTCTGGAACTCAATGTTGAGTAGCGGCTTAAGAGAAGACACTTCTGGGGCTGAATGAGGAAAGATATGACAGAAAAGCGCGCCTGTTCCCGAACCTCGTCAGGGCAAATAGACAAGGAAACCCTAAGTCAGAAAAATGGAAACCTGGCGACCTCAAAGTGCGGAGAACCCCCGGGTGGTTTCGGTCTTGAGCCGCCGTGGCGCCAAGCCCTGAGCTAAAGGTCTTTTTCCTTGACATTCACCCGCACGTTCCACAGAATCTCCAGTTCTCCTCAGTCTTCCGCCCCACGCCTCGGCCCCCGCAGCTCTTACCTGAGGTTCGAAGCCGGGAATCTCTCTTTGGAGGAGCCAGTTTCTCCTCCACTGTATTCAAATTACCGCGCGCCCGTGAAGGCTGAAGCTGCTGCGTTCTGATTCGCCGCTTTTCAGACCTTCCAAGGGCTGGCTCGGTGATTGGTCGCTCACTAGCCGTTGCCCCGCCTATCCGGGAGGTGGTCTCCAAGATTCTCCCGCCCTTAGCAGGTGAAATGCTCTCTTCACGCAAGGAATCCACGCCTTCCATAATCCCTTGCGGCAGCTCCGGGCTCCGTTCTCGAGGTCTGGGGGGGGGGGGGGGGTCTGGTTTAGATGCATTCTGGGAATTGTAGTTTTCGGCAGAATAAAGTCACCCTCTTGAGGTTGAGGTACCTTCTGGGGTTACTTGGTTTAGCATGTTTTTGTAAAGTAGCCTCCCCAAGATTCTCGAGGCAGTTATCTTTCACATTTGAAGCTTTGTCCATTAATTTAACATTTTTTATTAGTAAAATGTTAGATTTCTAGTTCACTTTTTATTTTTCAACTTAAATTAAAAAAATTAAATCATGGCTCTAAGCATCTGTGATGTGCCAGGCAGTCTCACACCCTTCACGAGTTTTATTTCATTTACTTCTCCTCACAACCTGTGAGATATGTATTATCATTCCCATTTTACTGAGACTAAAACCGAGGGCCTGAAAACAAGTACTATTTATAGGATATAGCTAGGTTCTTGCTTTGGGAAGCCGTACGGTCCTTAAAGTACCCATGGGTTGTCAGCTACTGTTATTATCTTTGTGTCACCAGATCCTGGTAGTCTTTGGCACATTTTTAGTTCTAAATAAATTTAGTTAAAGGATGCACTTTACTTCATAGAATGTAGTCTGTCGGAGTGAAGAGAAATAATCAGGTCAAAACTAACTGCTGGGGAGCTTTATATAAGTAATATTATTCCCATTTGACAAAAGCAGTTAGATTTCTAAGTTTCATTTGTTTGGAATTTGCCCTATCACAGAGGTAATAGAGGCCGATCTTAGATTTAACGATAGAACAGTCCCGAGTCCAAACCCCAAGAAGCATATGCCTCTGGGGAATATCATTAACAAATCACTTTAGTTGAGCGCTCACTATGTTCTAAACCCTTTACGCCTGTTAACTTACTTAACCTTAGAAAAATAATCTATGAATGAGTTGCTCTATTCATCTTCATTTTGTAGATCAGGTAAGTGAAGCACAGAATGTGCCCAACAAACGCCTTACAAGTGGTGGAGAATATGAAGAGTGGAAGGATTCGCGTTCATTTCAAAATAAAATGAGCTCCTACTACGTGCCAAGTACTGTGATTGGCGCAGTGAACGCGTATCTGTGAAGAAGGCAAATGGTTTCAATGCTGTCAGGGAGCCCGTCAGCGGGTGATGGGTAGCAAATATAACCAACATATAGGCCCATTCGATGGAGATTCTAAAAATAATGTCGGCCAAAAGTATTTATCTTTTAAGAAGATAGAATCTCCCCGCTGCGTTTCCCAACCACGAATTGTCCTAGCTCCATCTACTTTCCTTCTTCAACTCCCAAACCAATGAATGCCATTAGCCCGCCTGCACCCTCCCCCGCCACCGGCACCCTTCCGTACCCCGCCCCCCCCGCCAGGATTAAAGATGGCGCCAACGGGCTGGCGTTATGACGCGACCCGACGTCCGCCGGAAGTGTGCGAGGAGTTCCGGGAAACAGGCGGCCTCCGCTTTCTGGTATCCTGAGCTGGCGAGTTGAGTGCTTGTGTTTCGCGCTGGAGTATCTGCGCCGCCGCCGGGAATCATGGTGTTCTACTTTACCAGCAACAGCGGTGAGTGGGCGCCGTGGCCTCCTCCATCCTTGCTCGATAGCGGGGCTCCGAAGCCGGGAACCCCAAGCTGCTGTTCAGCCTGAACTTCATCCTAAAGCTGCTCCTCCTCGGCAGTGGGTGCTTCTTCCTGCCCCCTTTCGGTCCCCACTTTGTGTCCGTCCCTGTCGTCCCCGTGTGCCCCTTTTCAGGGCCTGGGGGGGGGCGTAGATGGACCATCATCCCTGCTGTCTTTGCATCCGGGAGTTGTTTTTCCTCGGAAAGACCTCCGTTCGCTACCTGGAATTGGGCAGTTTGTGGGCTTCTTTACACCCCCGTCGCAGGTGTCACTCCCACCTCCTTGGCCTTTATTCTGACTGCGTCCTGGTAATTACCCACTTTGTGGGAGAAAGGAGACACCTGCCAACCACACTGCCTTCCAGGAAGTGCGCCCTACCCTTCTAGGATAGCGTTGTAGGTCCTGGAATGCAACAGAAAACAATAAAAAGACCGCGGAGTGGCGGTACAGCCACTCACTGGGCAGAGTTGACGTCCCAGATCTCAAAAATTGACATATGATAGTGTTTCTGATTTGTCTTTGGTAGCCAAGGAGAGCGTGCTTTTAGTTCCCAGGAAGTGCTATATCTTGACCTCGTTTTTTCTGCGTATGTTGTTCCCTTTGCCTGATCAATCGCATTAATTCCCGTAAGACCGCTCCGGCTCATCTTTTACAAATGACTCTCCCAGCCTAACTCCCACCCAGAGGTTGCTTAAACCTCTTTGGGGCACTCTCTTAACACCCCGTGTGTATCTTTGGTATTGCTCTTATCATATGGTATTAAATGCTGTCTGCTTAATCTAGAGTGTAAGCTTCTTGAGGACAGGGGCAGGATCTCCTTGTTTCCCTAGTCTAGTGCCTGGCTCATAGTAGTTAATAAATGCTTGTTGAATAAAGGTATTTTTTGACTTAGTCATAGCACATACTATTCTGTTGTTACTCTCTTTGCTTGCTTGTTAAACGTGAGATTTAAGCGAAACTAGCCCCATGTTGTTGAATAGGGTGATGATACTTTCCCTAAAGATGAGAACAGTAAGGCCCAGGGAATTTGCTCACAGACTGCCCCCCCCCCCATTCCATCACACTGTCACATCTCATTATTTTTTTCAGTAGTCTAGATTTCCACAGGGTGCCATAAACCATTTCCTGCCTTTATAGATTTGGTTTGTCTTACCCATATTAGTAAAATTACCAGAAACAATTCACACTAGCCTGAAAAGCCGTTATAGGTCCCTAATAGCATCCTCCCTTTTTTGTTCACACTTTGTCCTAACTCCAACATCTTTTTAGCTTCTCCACTCATGAGAGTTCGCGACAACATAGGTATCCAAAGAAGCCCAACAATGGAATAAAAAATACAGGCAGGGTATATAGGTACTACATGTATTTTATGTTAGCTGCCTTATTCTCCTTAAAGCCATTCTAAATTCTTGGAGCACTATTCATATTTACACAGATGCCTGTAATAGAACAATGTTTCAGCAGATTATGGGTCATATTTTTCTCATTGGCTTCCATTAAAAGGTTAGAACTGCTTCCTGTTGGAAAAATATTTGGACTTTAAGTTTAACAAAACGTACTTGGGCAGCAAATCTTTAAAATTGCAAAAGGGGCGCCTGGTTGGCTCAGTCGGTTAAGCGTCTGCCTTCAGCTCAGGTCATGATACCAGGGTCCTGGGATGGAGCCCCATATCGGGCTCCCTGCTCAGCAGGGATCCTGCTTCTTCCTCTCCGTCTGCCCCTCTCCCCCTCTCAAGCTCTCGTTCTCTCTCTCTCTCTCAAATAAAATCTTTAAAAAATAATATTGCAAAGTTAATGAAAAAATTATAACTTTGTCAGTAAAATAGTAATAAAACTTTAACATATTCCGTTAGAGAAAACAACCTAAACATACAGAATCTCCAGGAAATGACTTCATATAGCTAGCCAAGCTTTTCAACCAACTTAGGGTTTACTGTATAAGAACTTTTTTTAAATGGGGAGAAAATCTCAATACAAAGTTATTGCCTTTCCTTTTAAAATTAGTATCTAAGGGGCGCCTGGGTGGCTCAGTTGGTTAAAGCAACTGCCTTCGGCTCGGGTCATGATCCTGGAGTCCCGGGATCGAGTCCCGCATCGGGCTCCCTGCTCAGCGAGGAGCCTGCTTCTCCCTCTGACCCTCCCCCCTCTCATGTACTCTCTCTCATTCTCGCTCTCTCAAATAAATAAATAAATCTTTAAAAAAAAAAAAAATTAGTATCTAAAATCTCTTAAACTTTATTCATGTTTCATGCTCTGTCCTAAGGAAATAATGAAACATTAGCCTTACTGTATTTCCACTGTCAAATTCAAGACCATCTGATTTATGGACCCACGAAGTATCTGCACTTGGCTCATTAAGTGCATCTGTACTTTTAGTACCTTTTAATTGCGTCTACCTCAAGATAGATTGTTATGTAAATTATGAAATTATCACAGAGCCTCTAAAGTTGGATTGGTTGCTACACCTGAATCCGATACCTTTAAGATGACTAGTTTCATACTAATCAACCCTGTTCTTTGGGCAAGAGTAACAAAAGTACTAGAATAATTCAATTTACATTTCCTTTATCCCTATTAACATACACAGGAACTTCATTCAGACTTCTTGCTCAGCAGTCATGCTCCTTTTTATTTTGAATTTTCTATTTTGACTAATTACGGTTTTTCAGGAAAGTTACAAAATTAATAAAAGATTTCCTTTATAACCTCTCAGATCCCCCAAATTCTAACATTAGAACTTATTTCTTTCTTTTCCTCTTTCTTTTTCTTCATCTCCCTCTCTCCACATACGCATGCACACGTACACACACACACACATTTTTTCTTGAGCCATTTGTTGGTCACATTTTACCCCTAAATACTTCAGGGTTCCCCCCCCCCAAAATCAAAGGTGTTCTATTATCAAAAAGCATTCCTCATTATCAAAATTAGGAAATTAACATTGCAGCAATACTGTTAACTCATCAGCTTTTATTCGGTTTTCATTGGTGTCCTAATAATGCATTTATAACAAAGGAACATTACAAATCGTTGTTGCATTCAGTTGTCATTCATACTCTTCGGCCTATTCTAATCTGGAGCAGTTGCTCAGTCTTTGTCTTTCATGACACTGTTGTTGAAGAATTATTTTGTAGAATGCCCCTCAGTTTGCATTTGAGTTATGTTCTTAATCACCTCATTCTGTAGTCAACCATCCAAACAATTGTCTGTCACTCTCTTGGCTATAATTTAGATGGCTTAGCCTGCACAAACAGCTTTATTTTATTTTAATCATTTGAAAAATTACTTTCGTTCTGATTATAAAAACCATCCATATGTTTGGTAAGCCAGCTAGCCAAGGTAAGTATTGTTAACAGTTATATGTATATCTTCCCATACATATAAAGAAAATAGGTACATATGTTAAGCATCTAGTTGTAAACATGCATATACAACTATATATTCATTTTTTACAAATTGAATCTTGCTGTATGTATAGAAAAATACTGTTATTTAATTTCTACCTTTTGTTTTCGGTGGGTAGGTAGTATTTTGTTTATGGATGTTCTGCAATGTGTTTAACCAGTCTTAATGAGTGTTTAGGTTGTAAAAAGAACATCATTGCTTGATAGAGTAATTATAGCATATACTTAGTGGTGACATTACAGGATCAAAGAGGGTACACATAGGATAAGGCTAGGTTGTTCAGAGACAATCTGAAATGGTTTTATTTCTGCACTTCTGCCATTTGTTATAATGGCTGTTTTGGCTATGCTAAGGCCTTACCAAGCTAATGTAATGCTCAATTATAGACAAGTATTTCTGTCAACTAGTCAGTGCAAATATTCTCTCCTTTCCAGAGAGTTCTCTCAACTACTTCCAGGTAATTTTGAGTTGTGATCATTATAACTGTTGACTGAAGGAAATGGGATTTTCCTTCCCCAAGAGAGGCAACTATGATTGATAATTTAAAGAGCTTCTCATTGCTGAAAGTACAGGCAATTTATTTAAGAATTTAAGAATTTATACATGAGCGTGCTACCCCCTAGCCTTTAGAGCTCCACTCACATGTACTAGTTCTGTGCTCTGAGTGACAGCCAACAAGCTGCCCAGACTGGGGGCCCAGTGACAATATATTAACTCAGGAGTTTAGATCCAGATGGGGTCAAACAAGTTTGGTAGACTAGCTTGGAAACCCAGTGCCCAGATAGAATTTCAATTTCGGAAACTTAACTTTTTGTTTGACTCCAGATGGAGGATGTCTGCAGTAAAAGACACTAGCTCAGTAAAGCAAATGTCATTTCCAAGGTAAGCCATACCTAGAATATTCAGTTTGGTTTAAGGCAGTGGTTCCTAACACTCACTTCACATTGGAAATAGTTGAAGAGCCTTTAAAAAAAAACACACCATTGCTTATCCACCAGAAGTTTGGATTTGGTTAGTCTTAATGGAGCTGGGACATAATTAGGTGATTCTAATGTGTAATCGGGGTTCAGAATCACTGATTTAGAAGATGCTTGAAAAACCATCTTTCCCCAGAATGGGATAGTCCATTATAATCTGCAACACACCTGGAAGGTTAACTAATATTGCCTAAATAAAAGGCAGTCATGTCAAAAACTAGTTGAGTTTTTTCATAAACTAAAAGTTGAGTTTTTTCATAAACTAAATAAAAGTTTATGAAAAAACTCAACTAAGTATAGGAGCCTATTTTTAAATGGTTGAGGTGAAGGTTGGGTTGTTGTTTGTTTTTTTACTCTTTTGAAGAAGGCAAAAGTATAGGACTGAACTGGAATTGTATTGAACTGTATCCCTGATGAAAGTAGGGAAATGGCTATAAGGGTCAATAAACTTGTTCTATTTGTGCCAGGTGGTAAATATTTTACACTTTGTGAGCCACATACAGTCTCTGTAGCTTTATTCTTCCTCATTTTGTGTTTTCAACTCTTTAAAAATGTAAAAGTCGTTTCTTAGCATGGGGGCTGTCCAAAAACAGGGCTGGATCTGGCATCTGGGCCATGTGTTGCCAACCTCTAATCGAAGCATTTGTCATGTATTTTTCCCATGAAGCAGTTTTGTTGGGGATGAAGTTCTCTAACTGTTTTTTATATTTTTGTTTTGTCTTAGTTAACTCATCTGCTTACACTATTTACATGGGAAAGGATAAATATGAAAGTAAGTTTTTCAAAAGCATTTGATTTTGAAATTTCCAGCAGGTAAGTGTTAACTGCCTTCTCCCCCACCCCCCACAGTTGGTCGGATATGAGTTTTCCGCTAACTACTACTAGTTAAGCCCATTATGAGGAACTTCAGTGGGTTAACTTTCCTAGAATTTAGTTATATCAAATAATATTGGGGCCTATTGGACCACTTGTTGCTGATTAGAAACTTAACTTTTATTAAGAGTTTTGTGGTATTGTTTGATTTAGGGTGATACGAATCAGAGGTTAACCTGTGCTAACTTATGGAAGTAAAAATCATCTGTGACTTGATTGAAAAGATCATTTTCTGTACGTTTTTACCACATTTAAGAATAGAGGAAACATACTTTTCGGGTTTTTGAGGCTAAAGATGGCTCTTTTTGAGTTATGAAGTGTTAACATTTTTTCAAGCTTTGTTGATCACTCTCATCAGAATGAAATCCATTATTCCATATTGTACACACTGATGTAACTAAAACGAAAATTTACAGAAAAATACCCATACTCTTTGCTATGCCCTCTTTGCTGTTTTGTTTTATTTTTACAAAGCTAGACTCAACCAGCTAAATTAATTTCTTGACCCACTAATCAGTGTGAACTAAAGTTTAAAAGGGAAAACTGCTTGCTCTGGAGTAGTAAGTTGACAGCACTGAGCTGAGGGAGAAAAGATCTGCAGCAGGGGAGCTTGGAGACCTGACAGAAGCACTCTGCTTCAAGCTTGGAGAAAACACAGTGGCTCTTCTCACAGGGGTAGTGTCACATTTTGGAAAAGAGCTCTCTGAAGTCAGGCCCATCTGTGTTAAAATCCCAGCTCTTAGCAGACTAGCTGTAGTACTTCACCTCTCTGAACCTCACATTGCTGAGATGTAAGGAGAGCATCATGGGCCAGTATCTACCTTGCAGGGGTGTGAGGGGTAAATGAAAGAGCCTGAGTAAAGCGCCTGGCCCAGGGTGGGTGCTCAGTAAACTGACGGAGTTTTTTTAGCTCTTCAGAGCTGGCTCCTCCCTCTCCTGGGACCACTCCAGGGCTGGGTGACCGCTTCAATAATCTGAGAGCTGGCCAGTTCCCTCCAATTACTTTTCTTTAACCTCCGGGTATTGCTTTTTTTTCCCCCCCGCAAAACCATCAGTCTGTTCTAGGTGCAGTTTGAAACTGACAACAGTTTAAACTTGATTCTCTAAAAGAGGCAAGTATAACATTCTTCAGTATGAGACATTTGACATGAATGAAATAAATAAAGCCAGAAAGGAAAAAATGTCAAAGAACAGTAATGTTGTATATTACTGTAGTATATATAGATATATAACTATAGTTAACATATACTCATATCTAATAGAACACATACAGTGTAACATATATAAAATATGTAATGTGATTTAGGTAATAGCTGTGTAAATATATATAGTTATTATTCAGATCTATATAAATGGTTTAGAACTTTGCAGTGATACTGGTTGCCATAAAGCAGAGTCAGAATAAGCAAGACTATTACATCCTATCCAAGAGAAAAAAAACAAAAACAACCATAAAATAATTTTTAAACAGTTTTTCCTTATAATGAATTTATGCCATTGTCTCTGGTGTGACTTATGGAGAAGCAGTCTGCTGTATATTAATACTTGAGTTTTCTATTTCTCCTAGTAACTCATACATCATCATAGGTAATTTGTATTTTTTTCATTGCATCCTCCTGATGAATGTGGCTGAGAAGGGGATGCTATCTCCTTGTATGACATTGAGCAAGGAGGCACTGTTGGAACCAGTCCTGGTTATCTACAGTAGATATGGATCCACACCTGGTCAAATCTGCTTTTCTTTCTACCACATCAAGGATGCAAGCCCAAGACTTAGGTTACTGAGAAGCACCTAAAGGAGAGCTGCTGCATACGGTTGTGAGGGTTTTGCACTGTGTGACTCTGGGCCGGGAACTTTCTTACAGTGAAGGACTGCACTGATACTGCTTCCCACTGATGGGCTCCTGGTGGTACTGACCTAAGGCAGCTTTGCCAGTGACATTCCCACCATGTCTCTTTTTTCCTTCCATTTTAGTTTATCATTTGCTGGGGCTGATCTTCTTGGGGCCATATGCCAACCTGTCTGAGTAGCCAAAGAGGAAGATGTGGTCTGTGCTTTTACAGCATTAAAGGTGGAGACGTGCACACAAAAATAATGGGTCATTTTGCTGTGAACCTAAAATTCTCTAAAAAATGATGCCTGTTTTAAAACGTATGGGTGAAATGAAGCAATATGAGTAAGTGCTGTAGCAGTAGAGGGGGCAGAGAGTAAATGTGATTGCGAGAGAACCAAGCAGGCTTCGTGGAGAAGGGTTAGGATGGGCTTGATTGCAGCCCATTTAAAGGAATGTCGGTTGTAGAAACTTGTATCTACAGATATAAATCTAGATACACAATTTATGCCTACAGATGTAAATTTAGATTCTTTCCAGAGCCCACTGGAGTAGTGTTTTGCTGTCATTAAAATGTATGTAGAAAAAAATCTATGTATAGAACTTTTTTTCCCCATGACCACTTGGAGTCATTTAGAGGTGTCAGTTTTCCTAGTCTGCTTTGTAAGAAAGGTATTACATTTTTAAAGTACCCCATTTTCTAGTGCTCCTAGCACTTCATACTTATGTCTAATAGCCTTGATGACTTCATACAAATGACTAGATGGAACATAAATGAATTTTTAATTGAATAATTAACTTTCACTAAAAAGCTTGCAGATGTTTTCTTTTGATTAGCCAGCAGGTGTCACCAGGGAGCCAAACATTGCCTGACTGAGGAAAAGAAGTTTTTATATTTCCCTTTACTTTTTTTGATTACTTGTTGGCTATTGGCTCAGCTTCCCGTTTAAGCTAGTAGAAAGCCCTTCAGAAAATTTATGGTGTCTGCCGTTTCTGAGAGTACCCTCATCCAAGATTTATCATCCTTTTGTTTTTCTGGAAAATGAATACCTTTCAAGTTAGATAGATTGTACTCTCTTGGGTACATTTTAAACCATCATATCAATCATTTTGTTTACCTTACAGTTTTTAACCTTGTGTCTAATACTTTAAATAATGCTTTTGTATTAAACACAATTAGTTTCTAATTATTAACGTGGCTACTGGGAATGTATATTGATGTTACCTTTCTGTAGTGATATATGTTATTAGCCTTAAAAATGTGAAAGTATACATTTTGAATGAATAATTCACCTTTTATAAATATGCTTTGAAAGAAATAATCAGGAATGTGGACATGTTTATTTTAAAAATATTTACTGAAGCATTTATAATTAAAAACAATCCAAATCTGAACAGTAGAAAAGTTTATTCACATGATAGAATTAAGTAGTCATTGTTTCCAAAGAACTTTTTCATTTTTTATTTTACTTTGATCTAATAAATACATAGCTTAAAATTTGAAATAGTAACAGAATGCATATCATAAAAACATCAGTTTTTCACCCTATCCTTTCCAACACCCATGTTCCATCCCACAAAGACAGTTAGTTTTAATTTCTAGCTGTTTCTTCTATTTTAGTTTTCTTTTTGTATGTGACAGAATTTTAGGTGATTTTTATTTTCTTTTTTATACTTCTGGTGGTTGTTTTATCTTCTAATGTTATACAGTTTTATAATTGAGAGGTCTTTTTTAAAAAGTAAAATGCAGTCCACTGATTAGCAAAGCCATTTTAACAAATAAGTTTCTTACAGTGAATCAATTTTCTAAGACCTCATCTAACTTCTTAGCTGCTCTAATTTGAAGTTCTACTACCTTTTAATGGAAATATCTTTGAAGTTTCTTGTAAGTATTATTGTAAAAATAATAACAATTATGATGGCCCAAATGTAAGAACCATTTTTACAAATTTTTTTTTCCTGTATTTTTCAAGCATCAAAGCCTCTGAATTACTCTTTCTTCCATTAAGGGAGAGAAACACTTGTGGAAAGGCTTGGTATTTCTCCACTCCCCCGCTTACTGTAAACTCTGGCATATTTTCATTTGACAGGTTATTTTTAACCTTTTCTTTGTTTTCTTGTTCCTCACTATAGATGAAGATCTAATAAAGCATGGCTGGCCTGAAGATATTTGGTAAGTAACAACTTTGGTTCTAGCTTTCTATGCCTTATTTACTTTCTTAGTTTTGGCCAACCACCTGACTTTTATGATGAAACCTAGAACTCTTGCTTTGCATTTTGTTTATGAATGGTCAGTGGTAAGTAGCTGCCTGCCAGCCGCCTTCGTTTATAATTGCCGTGTAAACTGGGGATGACCATAGAGGCTTCTGGAACCAAGACATTCTTTAACTTCATGTGTGGTCTTCTCATAGTGGACTAGTGAGACCACCTCACTCAAACACTCAGACCACTCTTCTTGGAAGGACGAAGGATGGATGAGGGCTTCACAGGTAGCAGTGAGGAAAATAGAAGCTTCCGTGTAGATGGAATAGATAGAGCATCTGACCAGGTACAGCTTTAAAGAAAACATAGGCTGGGTTCCCTTTGTCTTCTCATCTCCCTCATGACGTTAGCCCTGTCTTGATCCAGCCTCTACTCCCTCTTTCTAAAATATTTTCTGGAAATTTAAAGAAGAATAATTATACTTTCTTTGCCTCCTTCCAAGATAATTTATTTTTGCTGTTCACAAAACCCAGCCCAAAAAACGATGACCAGTGAACAAAAAACTCCTTCATTTTAGTTGAATTCTTTTTCTTTTCCAACTGCCTTAGAATGCCATATGGGCATCTCTACCACTCAGACCTCAAACCTTTTAGGAGGACATGGGCTCCCATGACTTTCATGTAACACTCTCGGGCTCAGTTTGCTTTCCTTTTCTGTCTTCAGCATCTACTCTTGTGATGTGTCTCTCCTGGAGCCTAATTCTATATAGAGAGCGGGGTGTGGTCTCCACAACTCCAAACACCACCCCCCACCCCGGCCAAATGCTATCCCTAAAGATAAGCACACAGATCCTCTTGGCTTTAACAATAATAATGATGAACACTTACTGAATACCTAGCTATATGCCAAGTACTGGTAGGTGTTTACTTTATTAATACATTTAATTTCACAGTAGCCCTGTAAAAGAGTTACTGGTATTAAGCCCATTTTCAGATGAGGAAGCTAAGGCTAAGGGAAACTGAACAGATGTGCTCTGGTTGTTGCTGGCCCCCCAGCCGGCTCTAGTTTTGAATTACCAATTTCTTTCTTCCCTTCGGCTGCTGCTCTTTGGCTAAGGGTGCCTTCCTTCGTCCCTCAGGCCATTGCTGCAGCTCTCTCTGGACCTCTTTTCTCCAAGTGTGGGCCTGGATCCTTCACTCAATTCCCTAGAGACACAGAGGTTAGGCACTTTTTAGAAGAGCTGCTTGATTTTCAGTAAAGTGGACAGCATTGAACATTTAATAGGAAAACTGTTGCACAGAGACTAACTTAAGCTCCCCCCAGATGTGGCCATCCTCAGACCGCCCCCCCCCAAGGCCAGCTGCAGACACCCACCAAGGGGCGTCTCCTCTCTTGCTCCAGCCTACCCCATTATGGAGGGGCTAATTCATGATGCAGAGGAAATGCTTTCCTGTTTGTCCTCGCTAAAGGAACCAAGAGGCACTATAAACCTGAGGAATTTTAAAGTCTTTTTTTTTTTTTTTTTTTAATTTCCTCCCTGTTCCAGCACAGTGGCCTGTCTTCTGAACTCAAATATCAGGTGTCATCAAGGTAGACACTGCTTCGTACCCCCTTACCTCAGGTGCGGGGTTTGCAATGCCCAGGCCTTCTAGATTGAGTGCTGCTTACGTTCCTGGAACTTTAGACTATAAGTGTCATGAGGACAACGATTACTTTGTTTACTACCACATCCCATTACCTACCATAGGACCTGGCCCATGGTACACATTCAGTAAAAATTAACTAACTTTCTGCCTCTCTAGCAGTGATCTCTACTGGACGTTTCTTCATAATAACTGCATTCTGGTATCTCCATTTTGGGCACCTGTCACCGAGCTGGATTATTTCAGTTGTCCTTATAGCCCAAAGATCTCCAGATCCTGTCAAGGGATATTAGAATGGCCACACCTGTTATGTAGTTATCTGCTGTGAATTTTTAAACATGTCAGGTTTGAGGCATAAATACCTGCATAGTAAAGGTTACATATTCAGATGCATCACGAAAGTCAATTTACTTTTTTTTTTTTTTTTAATTAAATAAGTGGAAGAGAAATTTCTAATTTACAACATACACCCTCTGTGTTCTGAGTTGGGTTTTTTATTTCATTATGGTTGATTATCTCCTGGAATGCTATTTAACCAAATTGATGTCTACAGATACCTTGATACCCATCTTGACATCCTTGAGACTAATGACTGTTGTTGGAAGTGATTGACTTTCACTTTTAGAAGCTATTTGAGGCCTAATGTGAGGTAGAATAGTCAGCCCTAAATTTCAAGACTCTTCTGTCAGTCCTGGAAACATTCCTGGGCATGCTAGGAATGATTCAGTTGATTGACATTCCGGGGCAGTTTTTCAGCGTGGTTCGCTCTGAGATAAATTTTGGAACTTTACCTGTGTGAACATCAGCATCTGAGTTTATACCAGAAAACCTTCTGAGGCACCTTTAAGCAAAGGATTTTCCCGGGACTAAATGAGAATGGAACTGATTTTATCTTTAAACAAAAGAAAATAGAAATAGTGTGTGTTTACTGCCTCCAAACTCCCTAATGAACAGTATTTCCAGGGACCCCACTTTCAGGAGTTAAATGACTCAGCTTCTGAGGGCCTGCATCTCTGCATCCCCCGGTCATTGATGCTCATTTATTGAGCTTTCTAGTCTCTGCATTCAGTAAAGAAAACAGTGATGAAGTAGAGAGAGAGGAATATAACAAAGACAAGAAGGAACTAGGGAACTACTGGGCATGATTTAAACTTTTTGGAGTAAACATTTTAGAAGGTTTGGAAAGGTTTTTTTAAGGAAACTTGCTCACGATAGTTTGTTTACAGAGCTGGCTTTTTTGTTTGTTTTTACAGTTCAACCAAAGCCCCATACTTCCCCACATTCCTCGTGCCCTTATAGAAGTATACCTACCAGCCTGGAGTTGGTCTGTGTATCAGCAGTGATATATACCCTGTGTGTTTTGGGATTTCAACTACTTATGTATCGCTCCATTCGATGTATATTGAATTATTTGTGTGTTTCTTTTGACAAAATTCCACATCAGAGACCTTATCTTAAGGAAAATCAGAATACAATCGAGCTACTGTGGGTATGTAGGAAAGAGTTGTTTTAAATGGAGAACTGGCTTAAAACAAGTTGGAATTGGAGAAGTTACTTCTCAGCTGAACTTGCTTCCTAATGGGTTCTAATCCTAAGATCCTGAAAAAGGGTAATGAGCTATGTAATTTCAGATTTGCAAAAACACGTTTTTTTCAGTGGAAAAGGCCGAGCTGAAGACACTAATCAGTCTCTTATATGGGAATGCAAATGAGTAAATGAACCAGTTGGGGAAAAATAAATCAATGTCCACTTCTGGCTAGCAGTAAAGGTTAATAGAACCTAGAGTCATAGACTGCCAAAAAAGTGTAATATTTTTCTGTATCCAAAGTGACTAACAAGATGCTTAACTTGTTGAAGAGGGAACACCGTAATCTTAACGTTTATGTAGAACCATGCTGTCTGCATCTTGTACTATGTGTGAGTGTGTGACCATTTTCACCTCTAAAAGATACATTATTGCTAAGAAAATGTCTAGAGAAATATATACCTCCTTAGGTTTTTACTGAAAACTCTTTAGCCTGGAAAGTTAGGAACTAAGGAAGAGACGATTAAAGTTAACAGAATCCCAAAGTGACCATCATGTGTTACTGTTGTTTGGTGCTAGAGTCCTGGGGGTGTCTCTGGAAGTAGAAAAGAGAGAAAGTCAACTTTATTTGGTGAATTATAAATATGAAAAACTTAGTATCTCAAAACGTTAAGACTAGGTGAGAAAGGAATTAAGTTTCGAAAGATTTCATTAAATTGGCAGATGATAGAGCCTTAATAAAAGGTAAATTTGGGACATTGGGATGGGAGGGCGTTCCGGATGTTTTTGGGACAATATCATAAAGGGCAGCCCCCATGCTTTCCCAGAAGCCCTGTATTAGGGCCATTGTCATATGTGAGGCAGGATGAATTGTTGGTCTGACCCATTTTATGACTCTTCCAACTCTGTGCTTCTCTTTGGGTTGTTTTGCCATTGCTTGAAAACTTAGGATGTCCCAAACCGGTGTCTTCTCCAGCTGTAAAGTATTTCTCTCCGTGGTCCTGCCAGTCTCCCAGGCTTGCAACACTGCAGTCTTGATGACTTCTTCCATTCCTTTCTCTCCTTACCTGAAATTCCTTTCTCTCCTTACCTGAAATTCCTTTCTCTGTGTTTCCTCTAAGTCCCGTGCTTCAGTCAGCGACCCTCTAAACCTCAGTCCATCAATGAAGCCTTTGGTCACGGATAGCTCTTTCTCACTGGAAAAATCACCCTTTCCGGGGCATTTCCATTTATCATCTCTAGTATTCATCTTGGCACTTAGTCTCACGCAGCTGCAGAACCTTCCATGTTTATCTTACCTCTCCCAGTCAATAGTGCCTTTGGAAGCAGTGACTGTGTTTTATACTCCCTATGGTGCTTGGCATGTGGTGAGCACTGAGTTAATACTTTCTGGATTGGAATGCTTTAAAGGCAAGGGGTCTGAGGAGGTGGTTGTCTTGTACCTCTTGCTAAAAGTGGTTTTCATTCTTTGTAGGTTTCATGTGGACAAACTCTCTTCGGCTCATGTATACCTTCGATTACATAAGGTAACTGGATTTAAACATGGACTCATGACTTTTTCTCTAGCTATGAGCATCCTATCTTGTCCTCTGTCCTTTTTTTGCAGTTTAAATTGCTTCAAGTAATAAATATGTACAAAAGTTGGAAAATCAGCAAATGAAGAGATGTCTTACCCCTGACCTGGAAAATCACTAAGGGAAAGTCTGGTGATTTTTGGATACTTGGAAAGGGGCATAGTCCATATACCCCAGCTAGAACCACTGTCCCCACTGCGTAATTATCCTACCAGTTCAGCTGTGTGGTTTGTCACCTCTGCTCTCTCTCCCTTTCATTTCAGCGGACAATTCCGGACCTTCTGTCTTTTCCTGTGGAGATCATGTGTGGTTCCTTCTCACACTCCCTCACCGAGGGTGGATATTCCCAGTTATCAGGGGCTTCTTTGGGACATTTAAAACAGCATTAGAATAGTAAGGGGAAAAGAAGCAACGTTTCCTAGTAACATAAAAGCACTGGTTTTCTTTTTTTTTTTTGAGGTAGTGGAGGTGTTCTGTGGAGCAGAAGACTTTACTTATTTTTTATTTGTTTTAAAGATTTTATTTATTTATTTGTCAGAGACATAGAGAGAGAGTGAGTAAGCACAAGCAGGGGGAGTGGCAGGCAGAGGGAGAAGCAGGCTTCCCACTGAGCAAGGAGCCCAACGTGGGACTCGATCCGAGGACCCTGGGATCATGACCTGAGCCAAAGGCAGATGCCCAACTGACTGAGCCACCCAGGCGTCCCGAAAGCACTGGTTTTCTAATGCCTTTACTTTCATATATTTTATTTATTTATTTTT